CTGCGGGGGGCAAGGGGTGCAGCACATGCGGATTCGCTTCCACGGGCGGTGAAAATAGCAGGCTGCAGGTCATCTTCGTTTCTCGCTTGTCAGTGAAAGCGGGTCACACCGCGCATTGCCGGGCTGGGGCAATTGCTTACAGCAAACGTGTAAGACAAAGTGTTGCCAGTGTCGGGCGGTCTTTATTGGCATCACGGGTTTCAGAAACAATACCTTTATTTTCATTCACAGCATCACCGTGCTTGTAACATCATCGTCATACTTATCATCACCATCAATGTCCGTAACAGTTCGGGCTGAAGCGCTGGCACTCGTGGAGTTTAAGACCCACATTGTCTTGCGACCGAACCCATGCATGGCAGCCAGTACTCCAGTGTACGTGGCGCCTGCCCGACACGGCGAACACGATGTTGAGGGTTATAAAGCACTCGTCTGGGAGAGTGCTTCGAAGGAGGGCGTGCCACGGGTCTTCTTGGAGATTCGCAGGTTCTACCAGCGGTTTCGTTTGAAGGCCGAGTTCCACGAGTGGTGGAACAAAGTGCAAGCTCCGTGATTTCGAACTTTATTCCGAGGGCTCGACATCGACATGGTGCACGAGGCCCGACCATCCCGGAAAAGTGTCGACGCCTTGCAAAACAAAGGCGCGCCAGCCGACCCTCGTGTGGTAGAGTTCTGTACGGCTGAGTGGACCTTCTCGACCAGAATGCTGCTCCTTTGTTGCGTTGAGTGGTCCGAATCCCTCCGGCACGCCGACGACCGAGAGGCAGCGAGGTACGTTCTAGCGGAAGTGTCACAGTTGTTGCTCGAGGGGCAGGAGGACCAGCTGGCAGGGGTGCTGTTGGCCCCCCCCCCCCCCCAAGTGTCGATGCTGGCGTTGGCGTGCCTCCTTTGTGCAACCGGCCTGCTGGTGGCCGGTGCCGGCACATGCTGAAGATCATGGGTTCTTGCATCCAGGGTGGAGACTCAGTGCTAAGTTGATGTGCGCGTTGTTGACGATGGCCGACAAGTGCGGTTGTGCCGGGAAGTGGTTGGACCGTTGCGTTGGGTCTATCGCTCAGGCAATTGATGCGCCAGTTGGAGCTCGCCAGCTCCCATGCCTGCAGGACGCGCCTGTTGGCCTCGTCCACCCTCGCGGTGAGAAGCGCATGAGGCGAATAGATGAGGGGTTGGCGCAGCACTGTGCGACCGACCAGATCGCTGCAACAAAGTGCAGGTCTGCAGCGCGAGCTGCTCGGGGGACTGGGTGTTGCGAGGAGGACGCGGCTCTCAGGATGGAGTCCGCGACCATGTCCAACTACTTGTGGTCTTGCCAGAAGACCTTCGGGAACTGCACGAACGTCTTCTTGGCCACCGACGACGGCAGGGTCGGCGGGGAGAAGAACAAGTTCACTGCCATCTTTTCGAGGGAGGTCAACCGATCGGCGTGGTGCATGCCGATGGTCTTCGCCTCGTTTGCCCCCCTGTGTTCGGAAGTGTTGCCCTCGGAAAGGGCGCCGGCACATGCGGCCTTTTGTGATTCGCGCATGTGGATTGGATTCGGACCCCGCCCCGGGTTGAAATTGAATCACACTGGGCAGCAGGTGAGCTCATCCAACCCCATGGCAGTAAGGCGCGGGCCTCTTCGGCACGGGCCGTTGCGTCGCGGCAGCCCCCCCAGTTGCATGAACCCCGATGGGGGGGCCCCCGTCGCGCGCGCCCCGGCGGCGCAGACGCCCGCAGGGCCCCCTGCGCAGGACGTCCGAACGTCGCCCCCGTACCGCAGGACGTCTAACACCCTTTTTGTTCACCGGGGGGGGCTGCGCAATTGCAGGAAAGGGCTGTCATATTTTTTTGCGCAGGTCCGACTTTTGGCAGCGAGAGCAAACACCGGGTTCATTCCGACCTAACACCCGGTTTGTTTGGGCCTAACATCCGGTTTGTGCACCAGGGGGGGCTGCGCGAGAAAATCGCGCATTTGTCAGGAAGGGTCGGCCGTTCCGACGCGTTCGGCCCCGGATCCGCGGAGGGGGGGCCGCAGGGCCATCGGCCCGACAGGGAGATTCGGGCCTGATTGGCGGGGGGGGGGGGCAGGGGTGAGATGGATCAGTGGCGCCGAGGTCTTGAAGGAGTTGAATAATGCATCTCAGAGTGGGAAGGCGCCGAAGATCACCATCGGGATGTATAGATCGCAGAGGCAATTGACCGCATCCTTGGCGGCAGCAAAAGAGGAGGACAGGAAGAAGGCGAGGGCTCACTTGAAAACGATGAGGAAGCTCAGGGAGACAACTTACTTAGACTGGCGCGCTTTGGATCGCCAGTTGAAGTTGGTAGGCCTGTCATTGAAAATGTTCGCGGGCGAAGACCGCCAGAACAACCAGTTCTGCGCGAGCATTCTGCAAAGGCACGAGACGCGGTACTTCGTGCCCGACCCCGCCTCCCCGCGTCTCCCAGGCGGCACCCAGGCTTTGAGGGCAATCATCAAGAATGAGGGGTCCAAAGAGAAGAGGTGCGAGGTGCCCCGCTGGGCAGGCGATCGTCGGCCTAATTTGGGCCTTTGCGGAGGCCAAGGGGGCTCTGGACTGCCGGCGTGGATGTTCGGTTTTTCGCACCTTCGTCTTCGAGGCCTGCTATTATACGACCGTTTCCATCGAATTTCCAGGGATTGGCGACTCGCTCTCGGAGATTGCAAGCTCTGGGCGATGGTATTAGAAATGCAGGTTGTTCTTCATTTGATTCATGGGCCATGGCTGAGCGAGTCGTGGTGGGTTCAGACGTGCGAGGGCTTCCAGTCGTATCTCGACCATGGTGCGCCCGAGGACGCTGTGAATTCGCCGGCCCAACGGACCAGAGGCGTGCTAAGATCTCCGGTAACTTGTTAGCAATATTTCTAGTTCGCGCGCGCGGAGCGGCCCCTGGGGGCCCCCGGACGAAAAGTGCCCCGGCAAGGTCCCGAGAGAAGCCCGGGAGAAGCCACCAGACCACTCCAGGGGAGGGTATTTTTCGACAACCCTCACGAGGATCGTGGCCTCCGAGGGGGGGGCCGCAATCGACTACCCCCAAGAGCCTCCCAAGAGGCCCTTGGGGCTTCCAAAACGCCGCTCAGGAGCCCCAAGAGACTCCCAAGAGGTCCCCAAGAGGCCCCCGAGAGGCCCTAAAGAGGGCTCCAGGGCCGGCGGCATGAGCGAAACGATTAAATAATCGGGCGAGGGAACGCAGCATGCTTGTCTGGAATTATGTTTTGACTTTGTTTTCTTGTCCCGCGTGCGATTGCACCGGTAGCTCAGGCTAGAGCGTGTGATTTGGTTTTATTAGATTATATGAGACTTGCGAACTAGACGATGGTGGTAACAGTGGCAGCGTAGGAATGCAGTTAGACGAATGCGCCACTAGAGCAGGAATGGCGTAGGGGAGCGGGGGGCGAGTCGGAACGGGGTAGATCTCAGTAAGGTCGCGCGGGGTGTGAAGTCCCATGAAGCCTCCAGGCGGAGGTGGGTGAAGGATTTTTTTTTTTTTTTTTTTTTTGTTGTCTCTCTCTCTCTCTCTCTCTCTCCCCCCCTCCTAATGTACTCCGTCTCCCTCCCTTCTCCTCTGGTCCTCCCTCTTGAATGCCCTGCAGGACCTCTTGCAAAGACCGCGCGAAGATCCCTGCAGTACCCTGCAGAGACCCTGTTCTTCACTTCGGAATGCCTGGAGTCCCTGCGGACCAGACCCCTCCAATACATTGCAATATGGTGCAGATGATCCTGCAATACCGCGCACGCGACGCGGCAATACCTGGCAAATACTTAGCAAACCCACCATCCTTTTTGGCCAGGGCCGTGTAAAAAAGGATTTTGTCTCCGACCCAAGAGGGCCCCCAGAAGCTCCCAAGAGAGCCCCCAGAGGGCCACGGGAGGCTCCCAAGATGGCCACCAAGTACCCCAAGAGCGCCCCAAGACGGCCCGTGCCCCCCAATACGGCCCCGGAGGGCCCCAGAGCGGCCCCAGAGCGCCTCAAGAGGGCCCAAAAGAGCCTGGACAAGGCCCGCTCTAAGCGCCAAAGGGGCCTGCGGAGCATTTTTCTAAGGAAAGTGCTTGTAGATCCCTGTGGGGGCCACTTCACAGGGCACGGTGGCGTTTTTTTTGTCGTGACGACGACGACGACGACGACGACGACGACGACGACGACGACGACGACGACGACGACGACGACGACGCCGACAGCAACGACGACGGCGACGGCGCGGCTACGGAAAGGGGCAAGGGGAGGAGGCCCCAGCGGTTAGGAGCGTTCAGAGCGGTGAGAGCAGCGAAAGGGGGCCCGCTCTAAGCGCCAAAGGGGCCTGCGGAGCATTTTTCTGAGGAGAAGTGATTGTGGATCCCTGTGGGGGCCACTTGACAGGGCATGGTGAGTTTTTTGTCGTGACGACGACGACGACGACGACGACGACGAACCGACGACGACGACGACGACCACGACGACGACGACGACGACGACGACGACAACGAAGACGGCAACGGCGACGGCGACGGCGCCCCTCCGAATTTCCTTCTGGGCGACCACTATGGACGACACGACCTTCGTCGGCATGAGGCCGCCGCCAAGCGGCCGCCGCCAGTAGCAGCAAGCACGGGTACACACTAGTCAGCTACAACGCTGGGATCAGCGCGTGCGAAAAAGGCGAGCAGTGGCAGCGGGCGCTGACACTGCTGAACGAGATGCGGGAGGCGAAGGTGGAGCCCGACGTTATCAGCTACAGCGCTGGGATCAGCGCGTGCGGGAAAGGCGAACAGTGGCAGCGGGCGCTGACGCTGTTGAGCAAGATGCGGGAGGTGAAGGTGGAGCCCAACGTCATCAGCTACAGCGCTGGGACCAGCGCGTGCGGGAAAGGCGGGCAGTGGCAGCGGGCCCTTGCGCTGCTGAGCGAGATGCGGGAGGCGAAGCTGGAACCCGTCGCCATCAGCTACAACGCTGGGATCAGCGCGTGCGAGAAAGGCGGGCAGTGGCAGCGGGCGCTGGCGCTGCTGAGCGAGATGTCGAAGGCGAAGCTGGAGCCCAACGTCATCAGCTACACCGCTGGGATCAGTGCGTGCGAGAAGGGCGGGCAATGGCAGCCGGCGCTTGCGCTGCTGGGCAAGATGCGGGAGGCGAAGCTGGAGCCCGTTGTCATCAGTTACAGCTCTGGGATCAGCGCGTGCGAGAAAGGCGAGCAATGGCAGCGGGCGCTTGCGCTGCTGAGCGAGATGCGGGACGCGAAGCTGGAGCCCGTCGTCATCACCTACAGCGCTGGGATCAGCGCGTGCGAGAAAGGCGGGCAGTGGCAGCGGGCGCTGGCGCTGCTGAGCGAGATGCGGGGCGCGAAGGTGGAACCCGTCGTCATCAGTTACAGCGCTGGGATCAGCGCGTGCGGGAAAGGCGAGCAGTGGCAGCGGGCCTTTGCGCTGCTGAGCGAGATGTGGGCGGCGAAGCTGGAACCCGACGTCATCAGCTACAGCGCGGCGATCAGCGCGTGCGAGAAAGGCGAGCAATGGCAGCGGGCGCTGGCGCTGCTGAGCGAGATGCGGGAGGTGAAGCTGGAGCCCAACGTCATCGGCTACACCGCTGGGATCAGCGCGTGCGAGAAAGGCGAACAGTGGCAGCGGGCGCTTGCGCTGCTCAGCGAGATGCGGGAGGTGAAGCTGGAGCCCAACGTCATTGCTTCTACAATGCAGCGCCTCCTGCGTGCCAGAAAGGCTTTTGTCAAATTGGGGGTCTCCGGGGCTCTGGCAGGCCCAGGCCAAACGAAGAGGCCCGGACGTCCCAGGACGGCCCGAGAGGGCCCCGAGACGGCCCAAGACGCTTCCAGGCAGTTCCAAAGGTCGCCAACATGGCTTGCAAACGGCCCCCAACAAGGCCCCAAGACGGCCCAAGCGGGCTCCACAGTGCCCCTCAGATGGTCCAAGATGATCCTCTGGGCGCTTCAAGAGGTCAGCAGGGCTTGCACGCAGCCCCACAGTGCCCCAGGAGGGCCCAAGAGGGCTCCACGAGGCCCCCACGTTCTCGCCTTTTCGGGCCTCCGACGTTCCAACATCGCTTGAAGGCAGGCGCCCCACCAGAACCCCCAAGAGGGCCCCAGGGCAGCCCGAGACGGCCGCAAGACGGCCGAGGAGGCCCCCACCGGCCCATGGCAGCTCTAAGGAGAGCCCGGGAGAGCCTTCAAAAGGGGAAGCTCGAAGTGACATTCCGCACCCACCGCCCCAAGAAGATGAGACCCCCGAGGCCGCCAGCGGGCCCCCAAGGGGACCCGCAGAAGTCCCCAGAGGCCTCAGAGGCCCGAGTCAGGCCCCCAATGGCCCCCAGAGGCCTCAAGACACCGCCAGCAGGGCCCCCAAGAGCCCCAGCGACCCAAGAGGAAACCAGATGTTCGCCGCGCGCGCCGAGGCCATTGAGACAGTCGTGTGCTGGCCTTTTCCCCATCTCGCTCCTCGCTCCTCGCCGCCCTCTCCTCGTTCCCTTGCCTCTTTCTTTCTTTCTCTCTCTCTCTCTCTCCTCGCTCCTGGCCCCTCCCTTCTTACTCCCCCTCGCTCCTCACACCTCTGTCCTGGCTCAACGCCCCTCTCTCTCTCTCTCCTCTCTCCGCGGCGCCAGCACAAAGCGGGAAACCGCGCACCACCTTCCCGCCACCTAGCACCGAATGTAACTGAAAACGCGCCCGCCCACATGCCTCGCCGAAACTATCCCTCCATATTCGTTGTCCGATCTTGCTCCCCAGAAGCCTTCGGACGCCTCATGCGACGAGCCACCCCTGGACACAACGAGTAAACGGCGAACACAGGTCTAAGTTTGGCTTACACCGCAGCTCCTCTTCATGTGCCCTTCAGAACCTAGCAACCCCACAGCAACGCCCGAACACACCAAACCCAACGCACGTGATCGCAAGCCGCATACCACGCCGCACTGCAAGCAAACGCGCCGACATCTCCACAGCATTCCACCGAGACCCGAGCACACATCCACGCACCCGCAGAGAACGCACAACAAGCATGCTCGCATGCTCGGCATGACAGACAGACAGACAGACAGAAGCCGCGTCCAGACGGCGCATTGGCAAGGAAAAATGTGGCAGGTGGCGGCGTGCTGGCACAAGCAAAGCATACAAATAAATAATGAATTGAATCATCGATTGCGCTGCAGGCGGTTCGGTGGGGGAAGGGGGGGGGGAGAAGGGAGGGAGGAGGGGAAGGGAGGAGGGGGACCGAGGCAAGCACAATCAACGAATCTTGCACCAAGATTTGACGGCTGAGCGTCAAGTCGCTTCGTCGCCCAAATGTCATTGGAGTCGACTGAGGCTTCGCCCAGACAACGCCGAAACTTGTGAGTGCGAGTACGTCGTCCACCGCAAACGCGGCCTGCCTCGGGTTCGTGCGCTACCCCACGTCTGGGGCAAGACAGAAGAGTGGCTCCCCGCACAAAACAACATGCGTCTTGGGAGGCTGCTCGGAGGTTCCCGGGCGAGCCTGCCATATAGCAGCAGTTGGCGTTGCAACAAGGCTGTAGATAGGCTATGTACTTTCGCTGTCTGAAGAACGTCCGCGTTGCTGACTCTAGACAAATGCGCTGGCAAAATCTGGAACATTCTCAAGCATCGCGCTTGGAATGCATCCAGCTTCGCCCTATCAGCCTTCAACAGCATGCACGATTCGAGGCCGTAGAGCAACTTCGATAAGATACACGCTTCAAACACTTGCAACTTGCGTTGGCTGTTTGAATTTGCATGGTTCAATGCGGTGCGCATTTTCTCAAATGCTCCTTTGGCCTCTCCGAGGCGCTTTGTCAATTCGCTGCGTGGCCGGCTGTCTACATTCAGAAGCCCACCGAGGTAGACGGCGCTCTCTTTACACGGGATGGTTGCGCCGTCGGGCGCTATGCTGGTAGCGTCTGAGCGAATTCGAAGGAGAATAGTCTTCCAGCATTGAGGTCCAGCCCGAATGTACCCGCAACCAATACGACTGTATCGAAATGCTGTTGCAAGTAGCCCGGATGCTCTACGATCAGCATTGTGTCGTCTGTGTACAGCACGTCTATCGTAATCAAATATGTATTGGATGTTTTCTCCAGCCTGCGTTCCGCCACTTGCTTATCAACGATGTTCAATAGCATTGACATCACAATGATGAACACATATGGTGAGAGCGGGCACCCTTGTGCTATCCCTGCCGCCTGGGTTCGGCTCGATGTCGTGGAGGCCTCGTTCTTCACCACGAACGTCCGCACCCTGTGAATTGCTTCGACCATGTGGAGCATAGGCGGCGGCACACCGAAGAGCCGAAGTGCGTGCAGGGGTCCTTCTGGCTGGATGCGGTCAAACGCTTTACTCCAGTCCAAGAGTAAGAGCAGAAGAGAGCCGTTCTTGTCTTCCAAAGCAGCGTCGATTAAGCGCCGTGCCAGAAAGAGGGCGTCGTTCGTGCCACGTGTTGGTCTGAATCCGTACTGTGACTTCCGTAGTGCCTCTTCGGCCCCTCCATTCTGAAACCTTCGTAAAAGGATGCGGGCGAGAACTTTGTACCCCACTGCTAATAGCGAGATGGTCCTGTAATTGCACGGCTGGGACGTGTCCCCTTCCTTGAAATTTGAAACAATCGACGCCTCCCGCCAGCTTGCGGGAATGTCGTTTTGTGAATCTCCATTGTTTGGTCGGTTCTCCATAAAGACTGCCACAGTTCTGGCGGCGCCCCATCGTTCCCAGGAGCTCTCTGTACACGAAGGTTTTTGATTACACATTTGACTTCATCCATGGAGATGTCATTCGTGTCGATGCTCAGGTAATCATTTTGTGTATCGATGTGGGGCGGAGGACCAGTGTACGTGCTCGAGATCATCAGTCATGGTGTCGGCCTTCCGCGTAGCGTCCACCAGGTCGCCGTCGAGATCTCGAAGACGCCCTTGGGTAAAAACGATTTGCATTTCCGGAGCGAGCGGATGGCCCGCCACCCGTCTTTCTCGATGGTTTCGTCGAGCCATGTTTTCCTGTCCGCACGGGTTGTCCTTTGAATTTGTTTGTTTATGAGTTTCAGTTCATTGTTACCATCTCCGCGCTGTCGCCCAAGGTTCCTCTGCTCGATGAAATGCAACGTCCGGGTAGATATCCACGATCGGTGGGGCGTCGCTGGTTGTAGTGGCGCCGCTTCCGCCATCGCCTCCTTGATGCATGAAGCCAATGTTTCTTCCTTGTCTTCGAGGTCCAATGCCGCATGTTCTCGAGTCCAAGGTTCGAGCAAATGCTTCGCATGCTCGGCATGCGCACCCTCAAATTTCCGCACCCCGCATCCAACGCAGTCCGCCGGCCACCCGCCGAAGCGGTCGCTGCGTTGGCCAGCATGCAAACGCAAGCACTCTGCACAGTGTTGCTCGGGCAGCAGGCCAGCAGCCATGCGCGCAGGGAAGCGCGCAAGCATGACAGCAGGCAGGCGATTTTCACCCTTACGTGTGAATCAGCTGTCGTAGACGTACGTCCACGGCTCCGGCGTAGTCAGCTACATCGCTGCGACCTGCTCGTGTGAGAGATGCGGCCAGTGGCGGCATGCGCTGTCGCTTCTCAGCGAGATGCGGGAGTGCAATGTGGAGACGAACGACATCAGTTACAATGTGTGCGCCACCGCGTATGAGAGGTCGTCTCGCAACTCGGCAGGATTTCCAGGCTATCTTGAGATCGGTCTTTCGCGTTTTCGCGTGCCTTGCGAAGCTCTCTGCGTGTGGGATTCTGTTGGGTAACCACTGTGATTACGTGGGCGGACATCCGTATTTTGAATTTGACCGGCTTCAATCGCGCAGGAAATTGTTTCGGATAACATTGCACGGATCTTCCCTGGTTGGCTACAGCGGTGAGATCAGCATGTGTGCGAGAGAGAGAGGGAGATAGAAAAAGAGGGAGAGAGAGAGAGAGAGTCATGCAGTGAAAGCGGGTCATGCCGATGTTCAGCGAGATGTTGATTGCGAAGTTGGAGCCCAATGTCGATAGTTGCTCAGCGAGTTGCGGGACGTGATGTCCGAGCCCAAGGTAATCTGTACCAACTCTGAGCGAATCGCATGCCAGATATTCGCAGTGTGCAAGATCCCGAGTCCCCGACACAGGGCCAGGATGCTCCAAGGACGCCCTGAGCGGCTCGCAAGATCCAGTGCCCCGCACAAGGGCCCAGTTTAGCTTACGACAGTCCAACGTGTCGGAAGGGCAATCAATGGCATCAGGCTCCGTTGCTGCTCAGCGGGGCGTGGTAGGTGAAGTCTTGGCCCGACGTTCTCAGTTACAGCGCTAGGATCAGTTTGTCCGACAAGGGCGAGCCGTAGCAGCGTAGTTCGGCGTTGCTCCGCCAGCTGCGCGAACGTTGGAACCCAGCGTCATCTTTATCACCGCGACGGGATCAGCAGTTGCGAGAAAGGCAGGCGGTCGCAGCAGGCCTTGTCGCTGATCTGCGCGACGCGTTAGGCAAAGCTGTAGCCCGACGTCATCAGCTGCAGCGCTGGGATCAGCGCGTGCTGGAAGGGCGACCAGCGGCAGCGCTCAGGGAGACGTGGAAGGCGGCGTTGGTGCCCGCCGCCGTCAGCTACAACGCTGGGATTAGGGCTCGGACGTTACTCGGGGAGATGTGGGAGGCGAAGAAGAAGCCGAGCGTCCTCAGCTACAGCACTGGCATTTGCGCGTGCTGAAGAGGCTAAGAGGGGCTGCGTTCCCAGACGCTGCTCAGCGAGATGTAGGAGGCAAAACTGGGGTCCAACATAAGCAGCTACAATGCTGGAGTTTGATTGTGCAAAAAAAGCAAGAGACAATGGGCGCTGGCGCTGCTTTGAGCCCAGCGTCACCAATTACATCGCTGGGACCGGCGAGTGCGAGAAGGACGGGAAGTGGCAGCGGGGCCTGGTGCTGCTCAGCGAGACGTGAGAGGCGAGGCTCGAGGTCAGTGTCTTCGGCTGCAACGCAGGGACCACTCCGTCCGAGAAGGGGGCACACTGGCCGCTGTATGTTGTGGCTCTGCCGAGCGAGATGCGGGAGGCGAAGCTGGAGCCCGACGTCATCTCTCTGGCGGTATCTCTCTGGGACGCCGAGCAGCCACAGCGGGCGGCCGCGGAGGCGAAGACGGAGCAGCTGAAGAAGCGTGCGTCCGGGCTCGTGGCCAAGCTCTCCGAGGAGCAGGAGTTGCGGGAGACGGCAAGACGCGACGCATCTGCCGCGAAAGTCCAGCTTTTCGTGACATCCGCGCCCACGTGGCACGTGGCAGGGCGAGCCGACGCTTCCCAGCGGCATTTCAATCCCGTGCCTGGAAGGCATGCGGCGGGGCGCGTCAGGTTTCTCCTTCTCCCATTTTCTCCTTCCTGGGTCTTCCCTCCCAGCGCCTCCTGTCCCCCCTCGCCTGCCCCCCCCCCTCGCCTGCCCCCCTGCCCGGGGACAGCCTCGACGACGGTCTCTCTTCCGGCTTCGGTCTCTCGCCATGCACCATGCCGGCTTTTTGCCGAGAACCCCCGATTCTTGGCGTGGTCGCTTTCTTCCTGCGCGCCTGGGTCATATTATCACCTGCATCTGCGAACATCCCTCTCCCCCCTCGCTTGCCCCCCTGCTCTTCCCTCCCTCGGGAGGACATACGGCAGAAACAGGAATTGATGAGGGACGGGGATGTTGCATGGTCCTCCAGCGGTCTCCGACGTCGAGCTGGAAAACGACCGAATCGCCCAGGCCGTCCTCCCCGTCCTGGAAAACGATCGAATCGCCCTGGCATGTGTACATGTATGCAAGATGTCACGAAGTCATACGTGTACCAAGCCCAAGAGTTGCCTACCTCTGGGCCGCTTTTGTCCCAACCCCCCCCCGCTGGTTGGGCCCTCGTTGTTAGGAACTGCTGCTGGTCTCCGTTCTCCCCCCTCTTTCTCCTCCTCCTCCTCCTCCTCCTCTTCCTCCTCCTTCGGCTTCTCCTCCTTCGCCCCCTCCTCCTCTGGAGGTCCCTGGATGTCCCCCGCCGAGGCCGCCTGCCCTGTCTGCCCTGCTCGCCCGACTGCCCCGAAACAGCCCGGCGCGGTTGTTTGGGGTGGTGGGGCGCTGGGGGGATGGGCCGGGGCCCCTCGCGCCGAGGCCGCCTGCCTTGCCTGCCCTGCCTGCCCGACTGCCCCGAAACAGCCCGGTGCGGTTGTTTGGGGTGGTGGGGGGCTGGGGGGATGGGTCTGGGATCATCGCCCCCGATGCCGCCTCTCTCCTGCCCCTGCCCCCCTTGCTGCCCCCCCGCGCTTTCTCCTCTGCATCCTCCTGGGCAAGACATTGAGAGCCACGGGATCCGCAACTCCTTTCGAAAACAGGATGAACTCAGATTGGAGCGGACCTCAACAACCCCGAGGATACGAGCGACACTAGACGAGGTATGCCTGCTGTACTCGCCTCTGTCGAGCCTGCTCCAACTCTTCGTGGCCCATCCAGGGAGCTTTCCCAGACAAGGAGAAGAGAGCATGGCAAGACGAGCAAACGAAATCACACCACATTTGGAACAACCAATTCGATCGACTCCATCCTGGAGCCGAATGTGGACAAGGGCATGGGGTGCCTTGCTCTAGAAACGAAATTCCCTGGAGGCAGCAATCGCGCGCCAAGTCCCGAGGCACAGGATCCTGCACCAAAACCAGCTGAGGCTTGGGCGACTTGCCTCTCTGAAGGGCGGAGGGGTGGGAGGAGTCAGGGAGGAGGTCACCTACACGCGCCACCCACTGCACCCAGGACCTAAACACCCGAAATCGGGCCGGCACCGCAGAGAGGCGGGGCTGCGGGAGACGGAAGGCCTGGGCCGCCCACTTGGCGTTGGCGTCGGCGCTGTCGTTGCCGAATGTGACTCTCTTGGCCGCTCGGCCAGCAACAAGATCAGCGCGGGTCGAATGGGCAGTCACTTTAACGAAAGACAGCGACGGAGACGAGACACCATCGAAACCCCAGTCATCAAGCCTGTCCCAGACCTCGCGCCACAAACTGGAATGAGTGGCCAACACGTGTACATTCAAGCCTGCCGCGGGCTGTGACACTATCGAAGACATACTTAGAATCAGTGTGCACAACAATCGGCGGGCATGCATGCCTGAGGCAATGAATCATGCCTGCAGCCCAGCTTCATTGATGGTCGGAAAGCCAGAGAAGAGAGGGCCGCACGAGACGGCAGCCCTCTCACAAAGCGTGCGGTGCCCAGCCTCGACAGCTACAACCGACCATCCAGCCGCGGCCGAGGGTCCGAAATCATCCTCGAAGCGCAAGCCGTCCAGAAAAACGTCCCCAGAAAGCAGGCCAGGGTGCCCATGGGCCCAGAGGAACTCAGGAAGGTCGGGGTGGGAGGGGCGCTTGAAAACAGCATCGGCATGAGACACCTCTCGGCAAGCAGCTGTGGGAGACCACCCTGCTTCGCAGCATCACCGGGTGGGGCAGAAGAAACATGCGGGGTTTCAAGCGTGAGCGCGTGCAGCGCGCACACACATTGCCTGTGCGTGAGCGTGCCGAGCGCGCGCGTGCCAACTGACAGACATGCTATGCAAAAAGGTTCGACGGGGGTAACCCGCCTGCCATTGCCTCGACATTGGCCAGTGTGCGCCAATGAGACAAGATCTCACGTATCCCTTTTGCTGCGGAAGCGCTATGGAGAGCAGAAGAGAGAGGATAGGGGATAGGAGCACACCGGTGGCAAACTCAGGTGCTTCAACATGTTCCGCAATCTTCTTACTGCCACAAGTGCCCTGCGCGCAACGCGTGCTGCTTCGCAACAAACGGGCAGGCTTCAGACATGTTCAGAACACGATCTTCAGGACATAGCAATTCCTCCAGAGACTTGGCCCTGCCACCTACTCTCCACCGGGACGCCCAAAGGGTTATGAAAGGCCCAGCGATAGAGCTCCATGGGTAAGTAAGAGGCCTGAAATGGGCTTCCACTTGCTGAAGGCTCCTCTGGAGGACATGTTCTGGCAACCGCTTCTCATGGAGTCATAAGAGAAATAACTTGACGGGCAACCAGGTGACTCGAATGATGGGGCCCAGGCCCATGTTGGGGGCTACCATCAGGAACAAAGTGAGGATCTTACCTGCCTGTTTGCGGGACTGCAATTTGCCTGCGAGACTCCTTAGCGTCTTCATCTTCTTCTCGTCGACACCAGTGACAGCAGCCCCGTTGGAGGTAGCGCCCTCGAGCGCCACGCGAGTCATCTGCCCAAGTTTTTCCTTACGAGGACGTTGCGAGGACGTCCTGACTTCAGAGCAGACGTGCGGCCACGTCGTTTTTTTGATCGCAGTGTGCATGGCCTTGGTGGCGCGCCTGCGTTGCACTCTGCTGGCGGCGAGACCGACCCCGAGGTTGCGCCTCGTCGCCGCGGCCACGACGCCCAGTTTGCGAAGCCCACGGTCGATGAGAGTACGGAGCGCTTTCGGGTTGCTGAGGACCCTGCTCGTATCAAGAGCTAATCGCATGTCCACGCTGGCCAGCTCGCGTCTCAATTGCGATGCAGCTTGACAGAGATCGTTTCCAACACGCTTCTCGCTACCGAAGCGTTGGGGGCCGACGTCGTCCGCGTTGACGGACAGCGCCACCTAGAGGCGCGCAGCTTGGACCTTGTCCAGGGCCCCCTGGGAGAAGTGACTGAAGCATAAGTCTAGCAAGCGTACATCCAGGAACAATCGTCTGTTTCACGCGAATGACTTCGCTGCGCGCCCCGCGAAGGTCCAAAATGCGAACAGCTCGATCACCATCTATCAATAACCTATGCTGCCATGAAGGAAAGCCTGATACGATGGCACCCCGCAGCAAGTGATGGTGTTGCACGATCTCGAACGCCTCTGTAAAATCCAGCAAGATCGCTCCAGAAAAGGCCCCCCCCCCCCCCGCATGGTGCAAAACTTCGACCAGGCACTGGGGA